GTGACCCAACACATACACACACACGCGCGCACACACACACACACGCACACACTTAGAGCAAAGCAAAATGTCTATGGAGCCCTGCTCACCCTTTCGCTTGAAGTCCATCTCTATTTTCTCTTCTTTTCTATCTACATGAGTTAATATTTGCCAATACTTAAACGAGCAATACTTAAATCTGATCTTCTACCTGTGTTAAGAGATAGAGCCAATAATAGCTATGGAATTTAACATGATATAAGGTTTTTAAAAAAGATGGTTTTGCCCCACTGTTCATTTCAACATCCAGTAATAAATCATGGCTTGCCTCTGGTAAACTATTGTGGTAGATCAATTTGTGGTAAATTATCATTATTTTTGGTCCCGGGAATCAAACTCTGGACCTCACACATGCGAGACAGATGACCTGCCATTGAGCTATATCCCAACCCAATTTATAGTAACTTAATTCTTAAAATCTCCCCGAAATAAATTCGTGCCAGGCTTACTTGCTGGAGATTTGATGAATACAACAACTTAAATTAATAATATATAATAAATGAAAATTTTTATTTATATTTAAAATGGTGTTTCATATACTATTCTTTTTTATTATATTCCAATAAGAATATTTATCTCATGACTTCAATATATTTTTCACTGAGAATATTTTCAGGGACATTTTAAGAAAGCTGTTGAAATTAACTATATTGAATCTAATGTGGAAGACACTGAATAACACAGTATTATCAAAGTGTATGTTTCTATGAAAATATCAATGAAATATATATGAATTCTGCCCCCTTCAGATTCTTTATCGAGAGTGACAGGGAGTTATCTGTGTACATATCAATTAAATTCTCATGAACATTGCTTCATACAGAGATGCTTTTGTACAAGAAGGAGAGCTATTTCTTTGTGAGTCCACCCATCCAGAAAATTGTACTGAGTGTGAGGTATGGCAGGAGGGCTGCATGGGAGGCCCAAGGATACGGAGATGAGTCCACCTGAGGCTTCTCTGAGTTTCAAGTATGTATAATGAGTTTCCTCAATTAATTATTTTATTTTAAAGAGAAAAAAAGAACAATGATACAGGATTCCAAAACAAGATAGCAGGAGAGTAACAATGATGAGTACATTGCTTGTTGTTGTCTTCAAAGTAGTTGCTCAGCTTAGAGGATACAGGCATGAAAACTGCTCAGATGGAACAAGCCCAAGTCGTCCCCCTTCGCAGCATGGCTGGCTTCACTGCCTTGGTGTTTCCTTTCCCCTTCCTTCTTTTCTCATTTCCCTCATCTCAGTTTCTCTCTCCTTATAAACAGTTTCCTCCTATTTCCCAATATCGATTGTACATTTTGGATCTTATTTACTCTATCTTCCAGCTTAAAAGTTGATGTTATCCCTATTTTTCAGAAGCAAAAAGTGATTTTTAGAGATTTTAGAAATTATGTTCAAATGATTAAGTGCAAAAGTAACAATCCAAGAACCATTGTCCAACTGTAAAACTTAGGAACCTTTTATTGCCTTAGGTTGTCCTATGCTTAGGGAATTATTGAATCATTCCGTGTCCTGTTATTATCAGGGATCAGCTCAGGTGTGCATGAGGCACAGTGTGTCTGGCAGAAAGCACGTTTAAACCAGCCTCAGCAACTGTTAGTACAGGCATTTGGCCTTGGATTCCGCCTCTCTGGAATTGATTCTACATGGGTTTGGGCAGCAGTGCCTGGCACAAGGACTGTGATGCTGGTGTTGTTCCCATTCAGAGGGTGTGTCTCTGCTACACTTCCACTGAGACTGAAAAGACAAAACTGCACATCCACCCATCTCTCCTCCTTGCCCCACTCTTGCCCCACTTCCACGTCCTCATCTCAGCCTAGCTCTTTTCCTCTTCACGGTCCCAGGCTCATCAGGGCCTCGGCTCCTTCCAGATATGGCTGGGGTGGTGGCCACAGCTGAGTAATTCTCATGTCTACCATTATATGTGAACGACCTTACCAGGTTTGACTACATATTTACCATAGATTTGAAAAATTGAGGATGCATTCCATAAGGACATCATACAGACAGGTCTAGATTTCCCCTGTAGGAATCATTCAATAAAAATAGCATCTCAAAATTTATATCTGTTGTTATTGCTAGAGCTTAACTCCAGATTGTTTTGTTGCAAATATTTGTACAAAGTGGCACCTTTGCTTAGAAAACTGAATTTATATTGAGAAGTATTCCACAGATGTTTCTTTAGTGTTGTGGTCCAAATAATAATATAAAATCAGGTTTCATTTGATGTGTGTGTGTGTGTGTGTGTGTGTGTGTGTGTGTGTCTTTTCCCAAAGCAATTGTATATACTACCAGTATTAATAATAATAGTATTTATTAAATAGTAGTAGTGCCTATGATTTATTGTATATTCTATATTAGGAAGTGTTCTGAATGATTAAACATATGAACTCACTGCAGTCTCCAGATGGCCTGTGAGATTCTGTTATCACAGAGTGGTTTGCCTAAGGTCACCTGCACAATGAGTGGAAGGGTCAGGACTGAAATGGAAGTAGGTCATTACCAGAGACGTGTTCTTTACTACCACAATATGCTGCCCATCCAGATACCTGAATGGTTTCAAATCACTTCTTTCCTTTCTTTGGCACTAGGAATTGATTGAATCCAGATACTTCACATTAAGCTATATCTCCAACCATCTAAAAAGTTATTTTCAGATAGGAGTTAGCTAAATAACTAAGTTACCCAGGCTGTGCTCCAACTTGTGATTCTCTTGCCTCAGCCTCCTAGAATGATGCGACTCCCGATGCGCGCCACCATGCCTTTGTAAATTGCTGTAAGAATCTTATAGAAAAATTAGCATCATGGTTGTGTCCGGATGTGTTCCCAGAACCTCATGCAGTCCTGGAGGTCAGGTTTTTCAGAGATAGCTGGCTATATAATTTATGATTGATTCATGGTCTAAGGCTGGGATTGAGATTGTGAGTGCCATACCCGCCTGAGGGTGTGTAGTCTGTGTAAGAGACAGAAGAATCTGCTTTCCCGTGTATTGCTTTTGCTATTTTCCACCAGCATGGGCTGCTGCCCTCTGCCATGTGTCACCCTGCCTTGGAGCCAGCTGAGTGTGGACCAAAATCTCCAAACCATGAGCCAAATCCACCTTTCCCTCAGTAATGTCTCAAATTTTCTGATCAAGGAGATTATGGGGCCAAAGAAAAAAGTGACTGATGATGTACAGTGTGCCTAAGGAGAGTCACATGGAGAGAAAACATTCTCTCAGCCTTTCACAGAAAGCACATTGGTCAAACAATTACCATGACTCATCCACATGGCTGACATTGACAAAGGTTCTACAATCTGAGGTACAGGATCTCAGAATAAATCCTGAGGGGATTTCACTGACCTTATCAGACCCAAAAGCTACAACTCTTGTTGCATAGATCTTGCTTTATCTTGGTCTTAACCATCCAACAGAAAAGTATAAAAACGAAGTATAAGAAGTAACTCCATGATGTTTTGTTGAGCTGTAGGGGACTCAGGTCAACAATTTCTGACACTGCCAGTCAAGCGGAAGACCCAATACTATTATGGACTACTGGACTCTTTTAGAATATTTTGCTGGGTTGACACACCTATAATATTCAAATAACAGAACTAAACAAAAAAGGGGATACAGATGAATGACCATTTTGTATCTGTGTGTTCAAAATGATTGGGATAGATATATAGTTACATTCTCTTAATGAATAGAGGTATTTGTTCTAATAGTGTTTGTAAATAGGATATCATGTCTGCGTCTTGTACAGCAAATAACCACTAGGAAGAATGTATGCAATGTGTTAATTATTGAAACTATCCTACCAGTTTGGTTTTAAACTGTCTCATTGTTATTTGTTTCTCAATAAAATTATGGAAAAAAATCTTCAAAAAAACCCAACCAAACAAACAAACAAATCCACCTTTTCTCCTTTAACTTGTAGGTGTTGGAAATTTTGGTCTTGGTAATGAGAAAAGTAGGGCCAGTCAAATAGCTCAGTGGGTTAAAGCACCTGTTTAGGCAGATGCAGGGGTCAGGAGTTTGATCCCCATTTTGGCCCTGCCCCCAGGGCACACTGAGATGGTGATTGAGACCGGGCATGGTGGCACATGCCTGTAATCCCAGCTCCTGGGAGCCTGTAAACAGAAGGATCACTATGAGTCCAATCTAGTAGTGAGACCCTGAACACCCTGTAGACCCTGTCCTAAATACAAAGAGAGAGAGAGAGAGAGAGAGAGAGAGAGAGAGAGAGAGAGAGAGGCAACTAAGAAGTAAGAAAGACAATGCTCCCTTTACTTTTTTTCAGGTGTGCAGGTGACATTTCAGGGGTGTTTTGTGTTATTGTCCAAGGAGATAAGCAAGGACAAGCATTTTCCTTCCTCAGTTCTGCGCTGCTTCTCTGGGGACGGGGAGCAAGGCTGGGACTGCTCAGAGCAGCATTTGCTGCAGGGCCCTGGCTTGGAGGCTTCTGCCCTTTTTGGTGAGTCCTTCAGTGAGTGCTTTCTCTTGATAAAAGGTGAAAGATTTATATGATTTTGAGTGCTTTCTCTTGGAAGGGGAAGGGCAATTGTCTTTGCCTGACCTTAGATGAGTCACAACTGCATGGATGACCATCTCAGGTTTCACACTTAGGAAAGCAAGGATGTAACATTATTCCGGGCCATTCTCTGATAGCATGGCTGGGAAGACTAAGCTGGAGAATGTTTATTTGTTTCAGACTGCTTGGTACCCAGTGTTGAGTTAACGTCAGTGTTGTCTGGCGCTGGATAGTTTAATGTAAAGAGAAATTATGCACTTTCAACCCAAATGAAAATATGCACTAGTTGAAAATTCAGTGGACTTTGGAACATCCAAGCCGGGCTGGGTACTAGCGGCTGTCATCCCAACCAAGGGAAGCCTGCTATCATCTAAGACTGTGCAGTGGGTCATTTCCTATGCATGTCATTGTCTGTTTTGCTTTATTTGCACTGGAAAACACAGATTCAATATGGCGCTCGTGGAGAACAGCACTGAGCTGGGTGTTTTCAGACTGCTTGGGCTGACTGGCATCCCAGAGCTCCGCGTCTCCCTCTTCCTAATGCTTGCCCTCATCTATCTCAGCACTCTCCTCGGGAACCTGGGCATGGTCACGTTGATCCTGTTGGACTCCCGTCTGCACACTGCCATGTATTTTTTCCTCAGCAACCTCTCCCTGGTCGACTGCATTTACTCCTCCACCGTGACTCCCAAGGTGATGGCCGGGCTTCTCACGGGGGATCAAGTCATCTCCTATGGCGGTTGTGCTGCTCAGATGTTCTTCTTTCTGGCTTTCGCGCTTGTTGACTGCTTCCTACTTGCTGCCATGGCCTATGACCGCTGTGTCGCAGTCTGCAAGCCCTTACAGTACGCCACCATGATGACTGTGAGCGTGTGTGCTCACATGGTGCTCGGCTGCTACGCCTGGGGTGTCATAGAATCTTCCATCCACACCGGGCTCACCTTCTCCCTCTCCTTCTGCCGTTCTAATGTGATACATCACTTTTTCTGTGACATCCCCCCAATGCTGGCTCTCTCCTGCTCTCCCATCCACGTGAATGAGGTTGTACTCTTTATCCTTGCAGCATTCAATGTCTCCTTTGCCCTGGCAGTGATCCTGACCTCCTACCTGTTCATACTCATTGCCATTCTGAGGATGCACTCGGCAGAAGGGAGGAAGAAAGCCTTCTCCACCTGCGCCTCCCACCTCACCGCGGTGACCATGTTCTACGGGACCGTCATCTTCATGTACCTGCAGCCCAGCTCCAGTCACTCGATGGACAGTGACCAAATGGCTTCTTTGTTCTACACCACCATAGTCCCCATGTTGAACCCAATTGTCTACAGTTTAAGGAATAAAGAGGTTAACAGTGCTCTGAAGAAAGCCATAGAGAAGTGTAAGGTGCTGCTCAGCACATAATGTTAATTGGAGAGATTGTACAATCTGCATAGTTAATCAATTATTTACTATCATGTAACAAACTAACCCAAAATTTAGTGGCTTAACATGATGATTTATTATTTATTATCCCTACGTGGCCCAGAAGTTCCTTTGCCACTTGCATGATATGCGTAGGTTCTGGAGGGGCAGCTGCGGGGCAGTAGCTGTGATTTACATTCACGGCTGCCACTGCAGGAGACTTTCTAGGTCACCTTGGTTCATCTCCCCTCTGTATGTCATCCTGCTGAGGTGGACTGGCCTTTCTGTATGACATCTTCAGGGCAGTGTTCTCACTGGCTAAAAAAACCTACAGAAAATCCTCCTGAAGTGAGCTCATTCCCTTATTTCACCACACCATGAGAGCAAAGGTGAGTGAAAATCCCGAACCCAAGTCAGTGATGAAGAAAGACACACCGCCTCTCAAGGAAAGAGTTACAAAGAATTTGTGGTGATAGGGATGATCTCACAAAATGAGAAATTGGGCAAAGTAGGCAAAACTGCTATAAGAAGGAAAATATAGTGGCACAGATAGCAACGTGTCATCCTTCTACAGAGGAGGGTTCTTTCGCAACGTCTATTTCTCTGTAACCTCCCAGAGTGTTAAAAACATACCTTGGATTGTCTTTTCTACTTCATCTGGAGGACAGGAGAAAGAGATGAAAGAAAAGCAATTTCTACTCTAGCACATAATACAGTAGTTGTGCTCATTACTTTCTAGAACATTCTATGATCAAGAATTCAGTCATACAGCCAACCATCTACAAAGACAACTTCCAAGTTAGGTCTCTAGCTGAGTGGCAGTGTGCCTTACCAAAATCCTGATACTCTGGAAAAAAAGGGGTCAGGGTTAGGAAGGGGACAGTAGTCTGACAAAGAATTTGCACCTGAATCCAAATTGCTAGATTTGTTTCCAAAACTTGGCTTCTACCTTAATTTTTTCCCTTCCTGAAGACTCTCTTCCTTGACTTTGTACTATTTCTTTACTAAAAATTTAGATAGCTCTCCTAAAGATCTTTTAGGATCTTTAAAGAAGCTGTCCTTCTTTATCTTTGTCATAGGATTTAAGTAAGTCTTGAAAATCGTGTATCATTTTAATGACTTAATTTCTAATTCTTTAAATCATATATAACATCACATGCATACCTTGGATTCTAAGTTAGTTAAATTTTTTTAATGTGTTTGAAGAGTGGAGATTGTACAAAATGCTTATGTACTGGACACCAAGGGTAAGGAAATAGGAAATTCAATGCACACAAAACCCAAGAGTCAGTGTCCTCTGTGTGAGATGTCGAACGGTCTGGTTGTAGGCTTGCAGTGGAAGGATGGCATGAATTTCATCCTAAGCAAGCAAAACATGATGTGTCCCTTGGAAGCCACAGTGAAAATCTACCACTAAAATAAACAAATTTGAGTTTTCATTATGTAGGTAGTGTTTACTGACACAAGAATGGACACTATCAATAAAGGGACATGGGAGGAAAATAAGTGTCTCAAATACTGAGACCGGGAGCTTCCCCAGCAAGAGCTCAGATGGATCAGCTTCCAGGAAAGACCAGTGGCATTTGTCTTCAAAACTAAGTGGTGAGGGGTTGGGGAGATGGCTCAGTGGAATAAGCGCTTCCCTGGCAAGCACAAAGGCCTGGTTCAATCCCTGGTTCTGCAAAAAAAAAAAAAAAAAAAAAAAAAACCTAAGTGGTGAGACATCTCTGAGGAGGGAACATGTGTGTGGATGTTGTTAGTAAATGAAATAATATCAAGACTGAGAACTGTCCACAGGCTACAGCCGTGTGAAGTTGGTTAATGACTTCGAGTAGTTTTTGTTGCATTGTGAAGGTAAAAATTTCACGAAACCTATACTCTATCTAGATGTAGTCAATGATTATTACTATACACAATCAGCATAATGGAGTTCACAAATTTGTACTTTTATCCTGCCTTTTGCCTGAGCATCTGGAGTTCATTGAGGTCATCCGTTTCAGGAAATGGGTAAACTCTGTCAATACAACATGCTTTCAGACAGAGGCAGCTGGTAAGAGACATTTTAGTAGAGCAGTTTATTTCACTTTGGAGGTAAAGCCATGTAGGAACAGGAAGAGACCATACTCAGGATTTGGTGTGATACTTGAAGTCATAAAGAACTGAGATAAAGGCAGGGATTTGGAACAAAACTTGAGAGATAAACAGAGGGGGACAGGAAGAGGAAAAAAAGAATACTTAGAATTAATAAGCAACTTCAGTAGTAGAGCAGGATACAAAGTTGCTAAGGTTTGTGTCTAGGTGTCCCCCCAGAGCCCCATGCAGTGCTGGGGTGGCTCTTGCAGTTTGTGATTGATTACTGTGGGTGTGGAGGCTGCACCTGCCCTGGGGCGGGTGATTTGCATCACAATGTAAGGAGGGAAGAGTTGCTAGCTAGCTGCCTGAGCTGCAGTCCCTCCCATTTTGTTCTCTTGCCCTTTGCCAAGGCCATGAAAGGTTGCTCTCTGCCCTGTGCCAGGCTGCCTTGGAGCCAGGTGAGTATGGACTGAAACCTTCTGTAACTGTGAGCTAAATAAACCTTTCCTTCCTTCATTTTGAGTGTCAGGCATTTGTCCCAGCAATGAGAGAGAAGTGTAACTGAGATAAAAATCAACATTTAAAAGCCAATAGCATTCCTGTACACAAATCGCAAACTTCCTGAGACAGACATTTGGGGAAAAAAACATTTTTCACAATAGCATTTGAAAAAAAGAAAAAAGAAAAGAAAAGAAAAGAAATACTTAGGAGTCAGTCTAACCAAGAACATAAGATTGGCTTTCCAAAGATTAAATTTGGGCCCATACCTCTCACCATGCACTAAACTAAAATTGAAGTGGATCAAATATATAAATATTAAAATAGAAACACTTAATCTTCTTGAAGATAGAATTGGTAAAACTCTTGAAGACACAGGTAGAGGCAAAGACTTTATGAGCAAAATCTTGATTGCACAGGAAATATTACAAAGAATCAAAGACTGGGCTCTCAGCTTCTTAAAAAGCTTTTGTAGAGCAAGAGAAATCGCAAACATAGTGAAGAGACAACCCACAGTGAGAAAATACTTTACTAGCTATTTCACCAACAAAAGACAACTCTCTAAAATAGATAAAGGACTCAAAAAAAAAAAAAAAATCAGAAACGGCAAATTTAATGACCCAATCCAAAATATGGGCATTGAAACTCAATACACAGTTCTCAGATGCAGAAGCAGAACCAGTCATTAAATATATGAAAAAATGCTCAATTTCACTGGTCACTTGAGAGATGCAAATCAAAACACTGAGGTTCTATCTCACTGTAGCAAGAATGGTTGTCATCAAGAAGTCTATCAGTACTAAATGCTGGTGTGGCTGTGGGAAAGAAGAATGCGTCTCCACTGTTGGTGGGAGAACACACTGGTGCTACTACTACGGACACTTCTCAAAAAACTAAAACTAGAGTTTCCATCTGACCCAACTGTTTCTCTTCTTGGTGTCTTCATGAAGCAGTTGAAAAGATCACATCACAGGAACATGCAGCACCCATGTGGACAGCAGCACAACTTGCAGTAGTTAAGTCTTGAAAACAGTCCATATGCCCACCAGAAGATGAATGGATAAAGAAAACGTGATTTTCATGTACAATGGAATATCACTCTGCCATAAAGGATACATTTGCGATATTTTTAGGTAAATGGATGCACCTTGAAACCATACTTTTAAGAGGAATACATCAAACACACATGTTTAAATATCACTTTGTGTTTTTTTTTAATGAAAAAAGCCAAAGGATAAATAAACACCAAATCATTGGGAAGTAGGAAGAAAATGTTTAAATGGAAGGAGAATGCAGGAAGATCATGGTGGAATGGGAGGGTGGGGTAGAAATAAAAAACAATGTAAGGGGAGCCGGGGAGATAGCTCAGTGGTCTAAGCACCTGCCTGGCAGGCACAAGGACCCAGCTTTTATCCCACATGCTATGATGGCCCCAGAACCCTGAACGCACCATGCTGGCCACCGAAGCCAGGAGCGGTGGCACACCCCTGAAATCCCAGCACTGAAGAGGCTGAGACAAGAGGATCACTGCAAATCTGAACTGCATAAACCCTATACTAAATGAGTAAATAAGTAAACATGATGTAAAAACAGTGGAAGGAAAACAATAGAAATAAAGCATTATAAGAGGAATGGGGAAGAGGATGAAAGGAAAGGGAGGGTGGGTGGGAGAAAGGATTAAGATATACAATGTGTGGGTACACTTTCCCTCGGATGGGTGTGATCACTGTGTTTGTCACAGTGTACTAATAAAATTTATTAAAAAGAAGAACCAATTTTATCCATGTACAGAACCCAGTAACCTCAATGAATATAAGCAGTATACATCATAAACATGAGCTGAGAATAATGATTTTAAGAATGAAAGCGAGGAAAGGGAGTTAGAGCAGGAAGGTGGGAGGTGGGCAGGAAGGGGATGAAATCTCCTGTATGATGTACACGTACTCACTGCCTCAGGTGAAGGAGAACGTGCAGGACAAACAGGCAAGAATAAAACAGAAAGGAGGATGTAAACACGTGGGAGTGCTAGTCAAGGACAATGTCATTTTAAGAGTCATCATGAGGAGACAAACTTTGGTGACATGGCCTTATCATGACATCCGAGGACGTAATGCAAGCCTCAGGATTCAGCGGAGACGGGCTGCACAAGAGTGTAAGTGTGCTCCTCATAGACAGGGCTTGCCACCTACCAGACTCAGAGCGATGGGAGAAACTACATCCGGTATTTCAAATGAACTGTCATCACACTGATGCAAGGTTTAGTCTAATTGAGTCTTAGGTTTGAAAGGAATAATAGCAAGGACCTAATGTGGGTCCTGTGTCCAAGGCGTGAGGAAAACACACGCTCGCTGTTCCCCACCTGCTCTTCTAGGACTCTGATAACCCCTACACTGGTGGAGCATGTGCCGGCCCCCATGGGGTCTGTGTAT